GCTGGCGGGGCGTCGCGGCGTCACTCCGCTGGATCCCCTAGCAGCCCTCGGAAGTGGCGACAGTTTCGCAGTTCGCCGCCCCCCAGGGTAGGCGAGGTCTAATCTGAACGCCCAGCGCAGGGTCACTCCGCTGAAGTGGCGACAGTTTCGCAGTTCGCAGCCCCCCTGGGATGGCGAGGTCTAATCTGATTCCCCGGCGGGACCCCACCACTCTGGACCCCCCAGCAGCCCTCGAAGGTGGCGACGGTTTCAGATTTCGCAGCCCTCCAGGCATGGCGAGGTAGGAGGCAGGTAGAAAGTAATGGGAAGAGAAGATGAGGGAGGCGGGAGGAGGAGGAGGAGGAGGAGGAGGAGGAGGAGGAGGAGAAAGGCTGGAGACCGCGATGCTCTTTTCTAAACAAGAATCCAACGGAAGGTTAGGAAAAACGGAGGCCAACTCGGCTCAATCTTGAATGTGCACGAAAACAAAAACCCAAACAGTCGGGCGCAAATAAAGACAGCATCCGGGAAGAGAGGAAAGTAGTTGCGAAACTGTGGAGCAACGCCGGGGAGTGCAGAGGTGCAGCCAACAGAAGCAAATGAAGCCAAATTAGAAATCAATAGCTATTGGCAGCATGTGACCAATAAGGGGAACGCACCGCTACATCACAGGCAAGGGCGCACGATCTATCCGCCGTCCATCTGCACCTACATCATACTCGTCCGCACAAGGAGCTCCCCTTCGTCGCACCACCAGGCGTGTCGGTCGAACGGGCTAAACGTTTCGCCAGAGACTTCCTCGCCTTGTGGTCCTGAAGCCTGACGTGCCCACCCAGTGTACGGATGGAGGAAGGTTTTTTCCCGACAGGATTTGGAGTTGGGTCCTCGTTTTGAAGAGACGGTCCACGCGTTTCTCTCCGTCCTTCCTTCCTTCCTCCCGCCCCTCCTCCCTCCTCCCGTCACCCCCTCACTCTGGCACCCCCCTCACACGTGTCGTAGCCCCACAGGGAGCCCCAACGAAGGCCCAAATGCCAGCGTTCCCATGCGCCCACCCAACCCATTTTGGCATATACACACACACACACACACACACACACACACACACACACACACACACACACACACACACACACACACACACACACACACACACACACCTCACACGTTTCGTGGCTCCCGAAAGCCCAACTGTCAGCGTTCGCATGCGCCCACCGCACCCATTTTGGCACACCCCTCCCACGTTTCGTGGCCCCAGAGGGAGCCCCAACGAATGCCCGAATGCCAGCGTTCGCATGCACCCACCGCACCCATTTTGGCACACCCCTCACACGTCTCGTGGCCACATAGGGAGCCCCACCGAAGGCCCAAATGCCAGCGTTCGCATGCGCCCACCGCACCCATTTTGGCACACCCCGCACACGTTTCGTGGCCACATAGGGAGCCCCACCGAAATCCCCAATGCCAGCGTTCGCATGCGCCCACCGCACCCATTTGGGCACACCCTTCACACGTTTCATGGCCCCACGGGGAGCCTCACCGACGGGCCCAACTGTCAGCGTCCGCATGCGCCCACCCAACCAATTTTGGCACGCTCCTCACACGTTTCAGGGCCCCATAAGGAGCACCACCGAAGGCCCAACTGCCAGCGTTCGCATGCGCCCACCGCACCCATTTGGGCTAACCCCTCACACGCTTCGGGGCCCCATTGGGAGCCCCACCGAAGGCCCAACTGCCAGCATTCGCATGCGCCCACCGCACCCATTTTGGCACGCCCCTCCCACGTCTCGTGGCCACATAGGGAGCCCCACCGAAGGCCCAAATGCCAGCGTTCGCGCGCGCCCACCGCACCCTTTTTGGTACACCCTTCACACGTTGCGTGGCCCCATACATAAGGAGCCCCACCGAAGGCCCAACTGCCATCGTTCGCATGCGCCAACCCAACCCATTTGGGCACGCCCCGCACACGTTTCGTGGCCCCATAAGGAGCCCCACCGAAGGCCCAACTGCCAGCGTTCGCATGCGCCCACCGCACCCACTTTGGCACGCCCCGCACACGTTTCGTGGCCCCATAAGGAGCCCCACCGAAGGCCCAACTGCCAGCGTTTGCATGCGCCCACCGCACCCACTTCGGCACGCCCCTCGCACGCTTCTTGGCTCCAAAGGGAGCCTCACCGAAGGCCCACATGCCAGCGTTTGCATGCACCCACCGCACCCATTTGGGCACACCCCTTGACGCGTTTGGTAGCCCCATAGAGGGAACTCCACCGAATGCGGTGCAGACAACGACGGTGCCCACAGCTGCAGATGGTTGGGTTGATCGCCAGGCTATCTGAATGTGGCTCGCGTCTCAGCACGGCAATCAGTCGTCTCAAACGAGTCCGACAGCTCCCAAAGATGGAGGGCATGTCATTTCCAACAAACGACTCTAACCCTCTCGCCACGTATATCCGTATTAACAGCTTCCAACAGCTACAAGCATGATGGTAGCTGCTTTTCAAAATGGGTGTACCGCGTAGTCTCATCATGTATGACCAGACATGTAAGTCCTAGCAAGAGTTGCAAGGCGGGAGTGCGGTTCACTTTGAGATGAGCAAGCTCACTTGAGACTCCGGCAACAAATGTGCCCAGAAATTCGCCGGCCCAACGGGCCAGAGGCGTGCTAAGATCTCCGGTAACTGGTTCACAGTATTTCTAGTTCGCGCGCGCGGGGCGGCCCCTGGGGGTCCCCGGACGAAAAACACCCCGGCAAGGTCACGGGAGGAGCCACCAGAGCACTCCAGGGGAGGGCCAATTTTCGACACCCCTCACGAAGATCGTGACCTCCGAGGGGGGAGCCGCAATCGACTACCCCCCCTCCCGCCCTAAGAGGCCTCCAAGAGCCCCCCAAGGAGCCCTGGGGGCCCCCAAGACGCCGCCAAGGAGCCCCAAGAGACTCCCAAGAGGGCCCCAAGAAGCAAAATTCATTGTTTTTCCTTCGGTTTGGGGGAGATTTCGGCGTCTCCACCTGTTCGGCATCGCGACGCCCCAAGACGGCCCAAGAGGCCTCCAAGATCGCCCTGAGAGGCCCGAGAGGTCTCCGACAGGGACCCCAGACGGCCCAAGAGGGTTCCAAGACGGCCCAAGAGGCCTCCAAGACGGCCCAAGAGGACACCAAGAACGCCCTAAGAGAAGCCCCAGAGGGGGAACACGAAACAACATGTCGAGCCCTCGGCCCTAAGAAGCCCCCAGGAGGCGCCAAGAGGCCCCTTTGAAGCCCCAGGAGGCACCCCAAAGGCCCTCGAGATAGCCCCCAGAAGCCCCACGAGGCTTTCAAGAGCACTCCCAAGAGGGCCCCAAGAGGCACAATTCATTGTTTTCCTTAGGTTTGGGGGAGATTTCGGCGTTCCCACCTTTTCGGCATCGCGACGCCCCAAGACGGCCCAAGAGGCCCCCAAGATCGCCCTAAGAGGCCCGAGAGGCCTCCGACAGGGCCCCAAGACGGCCCAAGAGGGTTCCAAGACGGCCCAAGAGGCCTCCAAGACGGCCCAAGAGGGCCCCAAGAACGCCCTAAGAGAAGCCCCAGAGGGGGAACACGAAACAACATGTCGAGCCCTCGGCCCTAAAAAGCCCCCAGGAGGCGCCAAGAGGCCCCTTTGAAGCCCCAGGAGGCACCCCAGAGGCCCTCACGAGGCCCCCAAGAAACTCCCAAGCGGCTCGCAAGCGGCTCCCACAAGCCCCAAGATGCTCCCGAAGGAGCTCCGAGAAACCCCAAAGAGGCTCCAACAGAAACCCAAGAGGCCACCAAGAAACCCCCAACGAGGACCCCAAAATGCCCCCAAAAGCCCAAACGCCAGCGAGGGCACAATACGGGCCGGCGGAATGAGTGAAATAAAAAAGGCGCAAAAATCTGCACGGATGGAGGGTGGCGTCTTTCAAACACGGGGCTCTCGTGGGACATGTCTTTCAACTTTGTCATCATACTTCTTCCCATTCTTTTTAGCTACAAAAAGGTAGGGCAGGTCGCTTCAAAAAGGACTGGAACCTGAATGGAAGGCCGACGGGACAGTCGTCATTATGGGGGTGCTTCCCGTAGTGAAAAGGAATGCCCGTAGAGACGAATGAAGAAAGGACTCGGGACGGAAGGGTGTACTGCAGCAGCGTTGATGCATCCTGGGTTTACTATGGTCCTCCTCAACGTTCTCCTCCTCCTCCTCCCTCCTCCTCCTCCTCCTCCTCCTCCTCCTCCTCCTCCTCCTCCTCCTCCTCATCATCATCATCATCATCATCATCATCATCATCATCATCATCATCATCATCATCATCATCATCAGCATCAGCATCATCAGCATCATCAGCATCATCATCATCATCATCATCATCATCATCATCATCATCACCATCATCATCCTCCTCCGCCTTATGATGCTGCTCCTCCGCTTCACCTCCTGCGTCTACTCCACCCGCAGAACACGATGCCAAGCTGTCTCTGCGTCTGGAAACGAAAAAGTACGGAAACTTTGGACTGAATAGGTTGCTGCATGAATTTGGCATGAAGAAGAAAAGCAAAGGTGAAGGGAGGAGAGGGGAGAGGATGGGAAAGAGGATGGTGCGGGGGAAAAGGGAGGGGGACGGAAATGGACAGAGGCAGGAAGAGATAGGACTTGGGGATTCCGGCGTGCTGAAGACATCTCTGGACTTCCCAGGTTCTGGAGGAAAAGAGCAATTGAAAAGGCTTTGAGGCTTCATCCTCTGAAAAATCGCTCCGCTCTCCTTACTATTCCCACACAGCGTGAGCAGCACAGTCATGATACTCAATAGTGTGTCCTCGAACGTCTTACCCTGAGACCGCGTGGTCACAGATGTTTGTCTTTTATCGGCATTGGTGCCACACTACTCGGCCATACCAAATCCGTCAGGCTCATCTGTCTCGTGCCTCACGTAACTCGAAGCGTTCCTCCACACTGGCGATCCTCATCGCAATGTTTCTTGTATCCTATTCAGAATCGACCGAAGCAACCGCTCCCCCTTCCCCTGCCGAAATCCTCCAAAATGCGACGCATGATCGTCTGCTGGCGCGTCTTCTTGTGCCCATCATTGCCTCTACTCCCGAACGTTGCCCCAGCAGCCAGGCTGTGGGGACAAGGACGACGGAGTGCCAGCACACGTCCGAGGGTGTGGCTGACCCAGACGCCAGGCTGCTGGGTGAGCCTCCACTCCTCCTTTCCCCCCCGTACCCCGTGGCCCCAGACCCCCACCACTCCATGCTGCCATACCCAACCAGCAACCCTCTCACTCAGGTACCTCACCTCCCCTCCTCCATTCCTCCCTGTCGGCCCTGCCCTTGGCACCCAGTGGAACAACGCATGCGGCCCCTGCTCCTTGCACCAGGTCTCGCGCACTCCCGCGTGAAAAGGAAGAGGAGCAGAGGCGCGAATGTGTGAGGTTCGACGAAGAGGACCTGTCTTTTCGCTCTTCGTGTCCCGTGTTGGCCCCTTATGAGCTTCTCCCGCGTGGCATCCGGCATCTTTCTCAAAGCTGCCTGGCGTCTTCTCGTCCCTCCCATTCCTCCCTCCTTTCTCGTTCCTTCCCTTCCGAGGTCCTACCCTCCATGTCTCCCTGCTCCTCTCCCGCGTCTCAACTGAACTTCTGATGTGGGATCGAACGGTGTTCTAACCCCTCGCCTCAACGAGTTTGCACTCATCGCGCCGCTGCGAACAGCAGGCAATTCGAAGCCTCTTCCCGATGCTTCTTGCTGTTGCAGGGTCCCGTTCGCTGGGCGCTGCTGTGCCTCCCGTCCTCTCAGCCTGTCCCTCCCCAGGTGCCCTCCTTCGGGCGTGTAGAAAATTGAAAAGTGCAGGGTCTGGCTCGAATCCACAGAGTGGATCATCAACCCGTACACCATTCAGCCTACGGCACCTTTGCTTCGGGAAGGGATTCCATGCCGAGAAGTGCAGCAATGGAGAAGGAAGAGAGCGGAGATGGAGGAGAAGGATGGGAGCGAAGAGGACGGGTAGGAGGCGGAGAGGGACGACGAGGAGGAAGAAGACCACGACGATACAAGGGGCCAGAGGGGGAGGGAGAAAGGGGAGAACACAGTCCACCATCATTGATTCTCCTGCGGTGTTTGAAGGGTTTTAGCATGCGCTCAGTTTCGCTTTCCGACGGCCCGAAACGGCCCCAGAGGCCACCAAGGTAGCCCCCTGCCCCTGACGGCTCAAGGGGCCCCCAAAACGCCCAAAAGGGGGCCCCAAGACGGCGCATGTGACCTCCAAGGCGCCCAAGATGGCATCCGAGACGGCCCTGGAGCGCCCCAGGAGGGCCCCAAGTCGGTCCAGAGGCCCCCGGGGACAGCTTCCCACGACAGCGGACGGGCCAGGAACGCTCTCAGACGGCCGAAGAGCCTCCCAAAGGGCCACGAAAGGCCCCCACGAGGCCCAAAGAGGCCCCAAGAAGCTCCCAGGAGGCCCCAAGAGTGCCTCAAGATGCTCCCACGAGGCCTCCTCCTCCTTCTCCTCCTTCTCCTCCACCTGTCCTCCTCCTCCTCCTCCTCCTCCATGTTCCTCCCTCTTCTTTTTCTTTCTCCCCCACGTGTTCCCCAAAAGGTTTCCACACTGGCTGGGGGAGCACATAGTCCGATAGCCTCACCGCGCTCTGGCCGCAACGTTCGGCCACACAGGCACTTCCTAAAGGCACGGGGCGGCGGTGATTCGCTGTCGGCGCCTTCGATACTCACGACCCAGTAATAACCCCTCGAAGCAGTCATGTCGGCGATACCAGTCAAGCATACGCATCCTGCATGAGGCAACAACACAAAATGCGATTAGAGCAGCGTCAACGCGGATCATTAGTCATTGGAGAGGTTGCACAAAACGCGACCGCAGAAGAACAGCCGAACGCGACTAGCATGACAAGTGGAAGCACGCCGTTGGTGCGGAAACGCTGACTGAAAACTGGGCCTCGTTACCGGCACCTCTCCCACTGGACTGCAAGAAACGAGGAGCACCACCTTGGCGCGAAGCCGCGCCGGCCCTCGGCTTGAAGCCCCCAGACGCCGCCGAGGCCACAGGCAACCAAGCCCGCGCATGGCCCGGAGAGGGCCCGCGAAGCCCCTCGAGCGGCTGGGCTGGAGACGACAAGCCCGGCTGCCTCCATCGGAATTGAGGCAATACTTGTCATCAATACTTTTCCTGGCCCATCCGAGCAGTGAATGGCTTCGGGACACACCAACAAAAGCCTTGCACAAAGAAGGAAGAGGGGGCGGTTGAGGCGTGGAAGAATGCCAAGGTCTGTCTGGTAGGGTTTCTGTGATCTTCTGAAAGATGTCCCCCCTCTACCCGAGGACAGGTGCGTGCATCAACCCCCCTCCCGAGACAGCGATCAAACTATGGATCCGCACTCCCGTGGCCACGATCCCTTGTAATAAACCGCAGGCCCACGCTCCCGAGCTTCCCAGACGGCCCAGGCAGGCAGGCAACTAAGGCCGCCAAGATGGCCTCAAGACGGCCCAAGAGGGCTCCCAGAGCGCCCAAGAAGGCGACACGA